CCTCCTCCTCTCCGCAACCCCCCCTCCCTTCTAGCACTGATGATGTTCCCTAGCTGGGTCAGGAAACGTCTGCAAGGAAACCACCCAGCTCAGAGAGCCCCCAAGGACCCCACAATGCAGCCACTCCTCCTCCTCCTCTGCTGCAGTTGTGGCTCCAATGGATCGAAAGCGCTGACCTTAATGTAATCGTAGGGACAGGTGACCTCAGGGTGATCTTCGATGTCGAAACTCTCATCGAACTGGAGTGTAATAAAAAATCCTTCCTCCAAGACAATGTGGTATCCGCAGTCGGAGCTTTTGGGGTAGGAGTTGGGGTAATCGGGGCTGTGGATCACCCCACTTCTCTGGGTGAAGACATTGTTGCTGCATTCCACTGCAACAAACAAACACACACATACACACACACACACACACACACACAAAGATCACAACATTAACCTGGTTAGTTTTGGGTTGACGGCGTGAATGGCTCTGTAGCCTGGGTATTACAGGTAGTCCTCAACTTACGACCAAAATCTACGTTGCTACGTGAGACAGATGTTAAGTGAGTTTTGCCCCATTTTACGACGATGGTTAAGTGAATTGCTTCAGTTGTTAAGTTAGTAACATGGTTGTCAGCTAAAAAAATATTCCTTTGGTCTTTTTAGTTGCCAGCAGGAAGGGAGTGTGGGAATGCAGCGCATTCCTTAAATGCCTCAGATAATTGCTAGGCAGCCGAAGCTGTTGGCGAGCAAGATTATTACTGGAGAGCATGATTGGTGACTCTTGGCTATGGATGTGTCCCGTTGGAGAATATACATCCAGGGGGTGGTGGGGAAGACCAGATTCAAGGGGGAAATGAATGGTGTGTCTTAGAATCGGCTGTACCCAGGTAACGCCGACATAGCCACTCCAAATAAATCAATTACATAGCCAAAAAGGCGATAAGAGTAGTTAATCTAATCCTGCGTAGCTTTTTCTCTGGTAATATCACACTACTAACTAGAGCATACAAAACATTTGCTGGACCAATACTCGAATACAGCTCATCAGTCTGGAACCCACATTACGTATCTGATATTAGCACAGTTGAGAAAGTCCAGAAATGTTTCACAAGAAGAGTTCTCCACTCCTCTACTAGTTGCAGAATACTTTATGCCACCAGACTTGAAATTCTAGAACTAGAAAACCTAGAACTATGCTGCCTTCGGTCCAATCTAAGTATAGTATATAAAATCATACATTGCAATGTCCTACCTGTCAATGAATACTTCAGCTTCAACCATAACAACACAAGAGCAAACAATAGATAGAAACTCAAGGTAAACTGCACCAAACTTGATGGCAGGAAATACGACTTCAGCAACAGAGGGGTCAATGTCTGGAATACTCTGCCTGACTCTGTGGTTTCTTCCCCAAACCCCCAAAACTTTAACCTTAGACTGTCTACTATTGACCTCACCCCTTTCCTAAGAGGTCTGTAGGGGTCGTGCATAAGCACACCAACGTGCCTACCGTCCCTGTCCTATTGTTTCTTTTTATTTTTCTTATATGTACCCATTTCATGTATTCATAACTATGTACATACTTATACCTATTATCTTGTAAGTAATTGACAAATCAAAATAAATAAATAAAAAAAAACTACATGCCTTCTCTGCAGTCTTTCCAGAGTTTCAACATGTTTTTTTTACATCTCTTCTTTGTGGGAAGCCCTGAGATATTGGAAGATGCTATCATGTTATGTCTATCCTTCTTTTCCTTAAACTAAACATGTCTTCTGTCCATCCATGGATTGCCCAGATCAAGTGATCCATCTATCCATCTATCTATCTATCTATCTATCTATCTATCTATCTATCTATCTATCTACCAATGAGGACTGTTTGGAAATTGAAACTAGGCGCGGCTCTGCATTAAGCTCTGCAGCTCTGAAGCTGTGTTGAGCTGAGAGTCTGCATAGGCATAGCAACTAAATCAGCCAATGAGGACTGTTTGGAAACTGAAACTAGAAGTAGCCTAGCCGTGGCTTTGCATTAAGCTCTGCAGCTCTGAAGCTGTGTTGAGCTCTGAATCTGTCTATTAAAAATGAAATTACTTCTCTCCTCTGCTGTGAAAGAGAAACTGACTTGCTTGCTTGCCTACTGAACTAAAGTGAAAACTGGTGGACTGTTCCTGAGCTGCCGAGTCGCTGCGCTTGCAACATGTTTCTGCCTGGGTTTGCTCCCCGTTGGAGAAATCTACAACTGGTATTGTAAAATTTGCTTGGTATGTTTATAAAGAGGTCAAACGAAGCACCAAGCCACCTGTATTTATTTTTCCGGCCCTGAATTAATGCTGCAAAACTCTGAACAAAAACCAAGGAAGCCCGGTTGCCTCTTGAAAAAGACCCCCCCCCCCCAAAAAAGGCACCTGTCAGACAGGTGACAGGAGGACCCCCCTACCTTTGCAGGTCCTGTTGTCCGAGTGGAGAATGTACCCAAAGCGGCAGGAACAATAATAGCCCCCGATGTAGTTGTGGCAGTGATGATCGCAGGCCAGTTCCTCGTCGTTGCTCTCCAAGCATTCATCGATATCTGCGATGAGAAACCAAGACGAACGTCAATAAACCTTCTCCGTGGGACACTCACTGGCAGGTGTTTCTTTTGGGCTAAGCGGAGGGACTTTGGGTGGGGGGTCTTCTTAAGACTGATCCAATCAACCGAGATAAAGAAAGTCGGCTTGGTTAGTGCTAAAGGGGCTGGCCTAGAAGCCAGGAGATGGGAGTTCCAGTTCTGCCTCAGGCAGGAAAGCCAGGTGGGAGAGT